TTTGCAGTAAGGTATTAAAACAAAATAAATTTAAGCCATTTTCTCCCACAGGGAAAGGGTTTGGAAAATACTCCACTTTTAACCACAAAATATTGCAAAGGAGGCGATAAGTTCTAGAAGCTGGGACTTAGCAATTTTGAATGTATTGTATGTATCAGAAAATTTAATTTAATTTATTTAATCACTGAGCATATAGTAATGATTCATGTGCTGTAAAGGCAGCTTCTGCTGGTTTTCAAAGCATGTTACCATAACAAGTTCTACATGAAAATTATAATCCCTCCACGCGCTCTATTAGCAGACAGTCTCTGACTTAATATCAAAGTCAATTCTCCTAACTCCAGTACAAAGTTGCAATTATCTGCAGTAAGCAGTATTGGATATTCCCTTCTAAGAAATGAGTTTGTATCTCAGTTTAAACAAGGCAAGTGTTAAATTACCGATGGCCAATTTAAAAAAAAAAAAAAAAAGTAGGAAACAAGCAGAGGGAAAAAGTAATGGAAATGAACACCTAATGGTTTAGCTTCAAAGCCAGGTTGGCAGGTTCTTCGGGACGTTAGAAATTGGGATCTTTGCAAGGAAAGCGAAGAGCTTCAGTCACTCTGGTTCTAGCAGATTCTGTTCTGATTTAGCTCCTCCTCTCAATCCTCACATCATCACTTAAGGTTCTAGATTTCAATAAAATAGGAAAAACAGAAAGTCCTTGTTGCCCACCTACAGTCGTCACGTTTGACTAACAAATGAAACCACATCACTCTCCTGTGTATCACAAGCTCTTTGGTAAAAGAAAGACAACTCCCCCCACCCAATGGAGATGGACGGGAAATGTGTGTTTTTAAATCTATGTACGGCCCGCACCTCATTACCAAACACAGAAAATCAGCCGCCTGAGAAACCAAATGGACTGTCAGCAACCGTCTGGTGACCAACTGAAGTTAAGTTTCAGCATCTGCTCCTTGGATCAATTTCTACATCAATTTCACTATCTCCAGAATAATTTTTTTTTCCTTTAAAAACCATTAATACATAGTGGGGAATATTTTCTTTCTGTTGTTAATTTCCTTTCTCATAAAAATTTAAGCAACACATTTGAAAGCGTGGCTGTTCCCACTGATGTGTGCCCATGGGGGGGTTCCTGCTTCTATTCTTCCAGAAGCACCGGCTGTCTCAATAAGCAACACTTGGGTGGAGCATTTCATATGTGAGGCTAATAACTCTAATTATTTCACTGTATTCTTAAGCCTTAGCCCCACTCTCCAAAACTCTGTCCAAATATTTTCTATCACTAAAATAGTCCTGTGATGAGCTCCTTTCCTAGGCAAAAACTGAGAGTTGCAAATATTAAATGCCTGACTCCAATCAGCAGGACTGGCTGATGGAAATCTCAGCACGTGCAGACTGAGGCCAAAAGCAGAAACGCTACTTTCAAATGGGCACATGACACCAAACCGCCACTATCAGAAGAGAGTCTTATATGCTGTGATATGACATTTCCCCCTTGACTGCAAATACAATTGAAATGTACTTTAATAGTATTTATAACCAATTCTTAAACCTACTGATACTGTAGCCATACCAAAGACAGAATGGCTCCACCGGGGTGCTTAGTGAGTATGACACACCACTCCGTCACCTGTTCCAGGTATCACCACGAGTGGCCCTAAGTAATCAGGATTGAGGCTATGCATCACCAACCCCAGCGTGAAAGTGTCCAGTGAGAGTCACCATAACTTCTAACATTTATTGAGCACTTACTGTGTGCCACACTCTTCATTAAGCCTCTTGCATAGATTATCTCCTTTAATCCTCACACAACTCTTTGGGAAGAGAATGTACTTCCACAGAGGAGGAGAGTGGACCTTTAAAATTTGTAGGCTGGGCACGGTGGCTCATGCCTGTAACCCCAGCACTCTGGGAGACTGAGGTGGGTGGATTCCTTGAACTCAAGGAAATGGGTGAATGACACTGTTGGAAAGAACTGAACTTACTATAAGGCACAAGCCCATTTCCTATGGAAAATGAAATGATTTATTTCTTCAGGACAAGCTTCCCAGCAGAGTATCACTGAGCAGGGAGTGTCTTGCTGTGCCTGGCTGAGCACACTGCCCAGTGGACAACCCACAAGCAAGGCCCGAGCACGGTGTGTAGAGAAAATACACACTTTCCATTTATTTCCTCCTCTAAGTAGAACAACCCTTCTTTGGGGACCAAATCCAGGGCTTGTAACAATTCCCCACACAATATTTTCCATCCTCACAGCCAGAAAAATTTAGAAACCATGAGAAGTCAAGAGCATGGTCCAGCTCTTCCCACAAAGGTTTCTGGGGTGGACGCCTCACATGGGCTTCTCACCTGGCATGAAGATCAGATGCCTGGAATCCAGACCCCAACCCCCAAATCAGCAAGAACTCACTAAGAAGAAAGCACACCAGATCCTTCCATCCTGCTGTACTTTACTCCAGCCTGGCTGAAACATCAGCTGTGAGAGAAGGGTGGTGAGGAAGACAACCATGATGGCAGCAGGCGTGAACGGGCACCTTCCCACACTAGGCTGGCTTGTAATTAGTACACTGAGCAGCTGTGAGGCCACAGAAAGGTTCTGAGAGGAGCAGTGACCTGCCTGTGACTGGTGGAAGTGAGCTGGTGAGTGTGACAGGACAGCCCAAAGAGACCGTTACCAACCCACCTGATGCAGGTTCTGTTGCTGGTCAGCTGTTGTGGTTTTTGTTTACAACGTATCTCAGTTCATTTAAGCCACATTAATCCTATGACTTCAGAGAGGTCGTCTATTTTCTATAATGTTGCCTATGGAAAGACTGCACACATCTTTCTCACTGATGGCATGTCCCTTTGGAGTTCTGATGGTCGGAAGCAGCACACCTGCCTGGCGATGGATGCCAACACTAACTTGGACTACGGCATGGTCACCAGCATATACCAGAAGTAGCACTTTTTGACTTCTGAGACTAAGGAAAGAAAGGCCTTACAGCTTCCTCAGTTACCAGAACACTCTCCCTGGGAGCCCAGAGTACAAATGAGAAGACTGAGTCCCCGGAGCCACCAAGCTGTGGAGGCCACATGTGGGAGGTCCAGCAGACACTCCCGATATCCCCAGAACTCCCACCAGTGCTGCCAAAGTACCACACCTGTAAGTGAAGAAGCTTTCAGATTCTAGACCCCAAGTGTCAGTCATCCCTAGATGCTTGATTCCTCCCAGCTGAGGCTCCAGACATCCTGGGGCACGAAGAGGCCTGTCTTCTCTGCCCTGTCCGTATTATTGAACCAAAGAATCCATGAACATAAGAAAATACACATAGTTACTGTTTTGTACTATGACATCTTTGAGGTGGTTGATTAAGCAGGAATAGATAACTAAAACCATACTACAGCAAGGGAGGCGAGGAACCCACTGGTTATGGAACACACACCTGGATCCTGACACTTAGTTCTGGACATTATTTCAAAAGATTAATTAAAAAACAAACATGCTCAGAGAAGAATAACAAGAATGTTCCTTTATGGAGAAAAGAAATGAAAAGACTGAAGCTATTCAAACTAGAAAAAGAACAGAGCATGTGTGTTAATTGTCCTCAAATTATTCCAAGGTGAAAAGAAATTAAGTTCTGGTAACTGAGGAAGCCGTAAGGCCTTTCTTTCCTTACTCTCAGAAGTCAAAAGGTGCTACTTCCACTACACGCTGGTGACCATGCCGTAGCCCCAATTAATGTTGGCATACCTAGCGAGGCAGGTGAGTGGACGTGCAAGGAATCACTGTGTGTATTCCGGAGGAAGGCCGAGAGACAGAGGGCAGAACTTACAGGGAGTCAGGTGGAAGCATTTTCTAATGTTCAGAGCTGTCCAGGAAGGAAGGTGCAGCCCCCACAGGCAGTGAGTTCCCTGATGTTCAAGGTGATCAAGCACTGGCTGGGCGGTCATCACCTGGGGGTGCCTTTGCAGAGAATTCATTTGCTGGACAGAAGGTCGAGTCAAATACCCTTCCTTTCAGGTTATACTGTAACACTGAGATGTTTTTATTCCAAAGATCATCCCATTTCCTCATGCTAAAAAATCTAATCCCAACGCATGTTGAGCAGAGGAAAAACACAAGATGAATAAATTAAATGAAAAAGGCCAAAGCATGCGTAGAAAGTGATACAGACTTATGAGCAGAAAGTGACAGCAAGGGACAGAAAACGTGACCCAGCAGGAAAGAAACTGTGACAACACGAAGCACAAAGGAGAGAGCGGGAAGCAGGAAAAGGGCCAAAGAGCTGTCCCGGAAGCAGCCAGAGGGAGGGCGCCTTCCCGTCCTGGAGAAATGGTTTTGTTCATTTGCACAACTTTTCTTCTGTCAGTGGGAAGACAGACCAAAGAACATGGGTGACGGGTGACCCAGGGAACAAGGTTCAGGTGGTAGAACCAGTGAAGTTCTGCAGAGATCACCGAACAGTCTCAAAAGATCCGGGATCTGTGCATCTATGGGACTAAGGGCGCTCCCCTGGGTGCAGGTGTCTCTAAGGTTAGTGCACAGAGAAAGGGTGCTAAGGGGAGCGGGGAAAACGGGAACCTTGCCAACATGAAAAAGAAAATACAGCCACCTAGAAAATGAGATGTGTCCAAAGAAGGCCCATGGGGAACAAAGAAAGAAAACTCTGTAAAGTCCTCTCACACACATTTCATCTGACATTCGTTTACCACCATTTGTAATCAGTTTCCAAGGTTTCATAATACACTTTAGTCATTCAAAGCGCTGGGCGAGTTATGTCATCGTTATCCCCTTTGAATGGAGTGATGTTGGTAAGAAAAAGACAGAGGAGTCACCTCCAGAAACGCAAAGTGTTGAGGCCAGAGCCCCAGGGCGAGAGTGGGATGCTGCCACCTGCTCGCCCCTTTCAAGGGCTCATGGCACCACAGGAGAGAAACTCATGTAATTAATGAAACACAAATTTTCTCGTAAAAACATTTTTTTTTTAAGAATAGCAATAAATTCATCTCGTCACTCACCCATTTCCGGGGTCTGCCTCTTGGCCGTTTCTCCCCAGTGGCTTCTGCTTTCTGCAACATGAAACAGTCAGTCATTATGGTTCCCACCCCAGGTCGTCAGTGAGCCCTGCGCCAGGGACAGGACACAAGGAAGGACCTTCCGGTTTGCAGACGAGGTACCTCCATTATTTTAACAACCTCTTTTTCCTCTAAAGTTCATCTTCTGCTTTTTTAAGTAGATTTTCTTCCCTGTTTTTTTTTTCCCCAGTGTATGCTATAAAATGCTATCTGGGAAATCCCTCTCCCTAAAAGACTCCCCTGAGTGGTCTCTTCTGAAATGCATGAAATCTTGCTATTTCAAAAGCTATTTTGACTTTATTTCTTTCCGTAATTAAAAAATTACCCCACATTCTAAAACGGTATAAACAACTGTTTTAGAAAACAAATGCTTTTTTTTAAATGAGCAAGATTTCTTTCCCTTTCACAACTCAAGTTTCAAAAATTAAGGTCGATAAACTGCTTCTGAGTTCAGAAAGTCCTCCTATATTGGCGGCCAAAAGCAACCCTAAATGTAAAAAAGGATACATAAGCATTCTAATTCAAAATTAAAAACAATTTGAACAGTTTTATTCGATAAATTTCCTGTTTCTGGCCAAAAACAATCACTTGTTAGTCAATTCACCTAAAGCGGAGGGAGAAATAAAGCTAGCAGAAATCACGAATGCTTGCCCCAGAGATGGAAAATGCTAAGTGTCTAAAAATAATACATTTAAATAAACAATATAAACAATTCCACCCTCAACACAGACCTGACATGAAAATATTTCTAAGTATCAAAGAGTTTGCTTGCTTAACTACACAGGAGATTTTTCTGGTATCACAGTTGTTTTTTCTCTTTTGAATCAAATTTTAACATTATCTACAAATTCATTAGCTATTCCCATGTTTTTATCACCTCTAATGCCTAAACACAACAAGAACATATACAAACAACCCCCCAATTCATACCTTCTATGAAAACGTGTTTATACTTTACAAGATGAAGAAAACTTAGTACAAATTGTTCTGTGTATGAGAATCTTCCCAAGTCTATTTACATCCACACAAAAACATCAGTCGGTAACCTGAGCCAGGATGACTTGTTTTGCCTTTTACTTTTGTTGTCTGGGTTAGCAGCTGGTGACACATGAATGACCACTGTAACTGTCTACACTGCCAAATAAAACTTTCCTCTTTCTCTCAGTAAAAAACAGACAGATATAGATGATAGCGGATAGATAAGTAAATAACAGATAAAAGTAAGCCACAAGATTGCTCACCAAATAACATCCCCCAACCTGGCATTACTATGTAACAGGTCCCATGAATTAAGCCAAACTCTGTATGACTGTAATGCTCACATTTATCGAGCATTTAAAATACCCCAGGCACTGGGCTGAGTCAGTGGCCTGCTACTTTAACTCTCACAGACCCTCATAAAGTGGGCATTGTCATTTCTCTCATTTTGGAGATGAGCGGCTAAGTTTTCAGATGGTTTAACATACAGGAATACAACCTGCTGGAGTCACACGTCACACAGGTCACTGGTAGACCTGGGATTCGAAGCCGGCTCTGTTTGACTCTAATGATAGTACAAAGCATTTGCTGCCACAGAAAATATTTTAGGAAACTAAAATCGTCACCAATTAAGCTAATTTTCCGGAACAGGAAAAAACCTGGTGGCCTTTAGGAGCTCTACCTAACTGCTGGCCGTGACTCCTTCACAACTGTTGAATGGCTTCACAGAGGCATCCATTACTGTCAGGGGTGAGGGGCCCCACCTGACCTGAGTCTTTCACTTCAGCATGAATGAGGGAGAGCTCAGAGCCCAGTAGATCACACCATCACTCACAGCATTGCTTCCTGGAGAGGCGTCCTGACCCCGCTGTGGCAGGCTCAGGTCTGAATTCCTGTGCTGCCATTTTAGTTCTATGACTTTGGGTGGTCCCTGAAGACCCTAGTCTGATGTCACCTGTAAGTGGAGATAAGGCCTCCTGGAAGGGGCGTCACCCAGGTGCTTGCGAGTACCTGCCAATACACATTCTTGCACTCCTGACAAGATGAAACCTTTCAAGAAAAAGCTCTCTGTCAAGCTAGTTCCATCTTACAGAAGGTTCAGAAAATGCACATATTCCATTACATCCACCACCTTTAGGGTGAAGCTTCTAAGAAACCCTTTGGATAGTGTGAGGTGAGTCACACAACTGCAGAATTCTCTGGTACAGAAGCAGTGGCTGATTTAATCTTGGGCAGCAATTGTAAGATTGCCTGGCTTACCCAGGAGTAAATCACACACAAGGCAGGCAGAAATCCTTTTTACTGGGAATGAGGGTGGTGCGCTGGGTTGCAGGAGGTGGCTATGGACCTGACCAGCTACAGGTGCTGCACCAGCAACTCCTGTGCACTAGCTACATGGCAGGGCCATGACGTGACCAGGATGTATCTAAAATCTACTGAGAAAGAGAGGGTTTTATTTTTATACCTAAGAAGGGTTTCAGTGCATTTCAAAGTAAGAGAAAGCAAATCTCTCAAAGAGAGAGAAAGCCCTGAAAATAAGACGGCTTGTAAAAGAGCATCTCATTTACAAAAAGCCTATTGAGAAATAAAATTCGCACCATTACTAAAAGGGCAAAATATCACGATTATCACTCAGACTTGTTAAAAGCAAACTTACTCCTTGGTCATTCAGGCCAGTGTTACATGTAAACTGAGACTCCCCTCGGAGGCAACTGCTGGAGGAAGCACATTAGCTGTCCATCCGGGAGGTCTGCATTGTTCTTTAAAACCCACATTATTTAATCATTCTAATCAAACTCCACAAAGGCTGAAAAACAAGTTAGGATTTTAGTTTGCGAACCAGCACAGAGGGCGGAGTTTTGCATGTTGGAAACCACTGGCTTTAACACGTTTTCCTGTGTTTAATGCTCTTCAGGATATTATTTCTCAAAGAAGACAAACAAAACTTTCAGGAGGCTTGTTTTGTTTTAACGCACCAACAGATGCAACACAGCCCAAGTGTGTATTTGGTTTTCCTTTGCCAGAATAGAATTAGGTTCTACACGACAACCCACAGACAACCCACACGTCACAAAGACATAACTAGTTTTAATAATTATTGCTTAGGTGACTGGAGAAAGGGAAGCGAGGGTAGGAATTCTGAATTTGTAAGAACTGAAATTTCAGAATATTACTGGCACTATTATGCTAAGATTCACAACCCTATGTTGTTAAAAGTACTATTTCCTCCTTGATTTTCCTCATTCATTTTTCTTAAAGTTTAGGTTCATAACTGTAAAGTTAATTGTATTAACATGTTTAGAAGCAAGGTCATGAGGGTTAGGAGGAGTAAGTGGGGAATGTAGTTATGTCTTCTAAGATGTTCCCCACATTAAAAAGATTTAAAAACATTCATCTAGCAAATTAATTTGAGTTTGATGACAGTGCTTAGTTTCTGGTGTACAAGAGGTGATCACTTCATACTTGTGGAAAAGGAGAAAAACAGGGAGGGAGAGAAGGGAAGGAAGGAGGGAGGGGGGGAAGGAGGGAGGGAGGGAGGGAGGGAGAAGGGAGGGAGGGGAGAACTTATATATGTGTTTTATTTCCTCCTTACCATTGGAATGCTGGAACTCAGTAAAACTTTACAAATCATTTCATCCAGCCCTCTCAATGAACAAATAAGGAAACTTCTGGATGTGATACAATTCCCAAAGGCCTAGCCCTGTGGTTTTACTTGGGGGCCAGAAGTCTGTGGGCATCGGTCTGAAGGCACCCATTTCCAATGCCTTCGTGACCTTGGCAGGGCCACTTCAAAGGTTTCTCAAAACCTTTACTCAATATATTTCAAACCTGCATTTTGGATAACTAGAGATTAACAGAAACTAGATGTATCATATGTTTATAAGATGTTTGATGGCATATGGTAATGGAAAGGGTGTAAGCTTTGGAATTAAAGTTGAATTCAAACCCAGATGCCATCATTTACCAGGGCAGAACATCAGACATGCCCTAGCTTACGTCTTGGATCACAGTTCTCTCACTTAGGGGATGAAGACCACTAATGCCAAGTCAGAGGATTAAAGGAGCTACAAACATGGAAAAGTGCCTGACAAAAGCTAGGGCACTTAGTAGATAGTTGAACACAATTTCTTCTCTTTCTCCTATTTTAAAACAAACACCTACCAATTCTGTAAGTGCCCACAGTGGTTTTCCAAGTATTATCTTGTATCTTATTTAAGTAGGCAGCTGCTACTTCCCAGCCCACAGATGCCAGACTGAGTAAAGCGGCCACCTTCACAGGCAGTAGAACTGAGACCCAACCTGATTTCAAGGCAGTGCAGGGTCTGTCCTTTGGGAGCGATTCCCACATAAATTAACATTGCCATGGGAAAAGTTAATATACAAAAGATAACCTTCTAGGGTGAAAATCAAATTAGTTAAAGGTAAAATATTTCCAAGTTCTCTATAAACACATGGATAAGAGCAGCAGTTGGGAACCAAGAGGGTAATTTGATTCTGACTTTGGGGACAAATTTAGATGGCCATTATAGCAAATTTAGATGCTACTATAAACGTTCTCACTGCATTTTATAGGCACTGTGATGAATGAGGGATAAAGCCATAATACTGGTACTCCAAATCAATCAATCATGCAACTATACCGGAAATAAGCTCGAAAAATATGGGGTGTGATGGTTCCTGTTTTGTTTTCATGTACTTGGAATTCTTTTTTAAGACTTAGACCTGCTGAACCTAAGAATCTGTGGAGCCCACTCTCCAAAGTCTGGAAAGTCATGCCTTATTTGTTTCAGCCACTCTTTTAAGAAAATAGAAACAGCATAAACCAGTGTGCACTAGAGTCGAAATCAGCGGGACCAACCCATCAGGGGAGCAGTGAGGGATTTCTCACTTTACCTTTCCAAAAGTCCAGTTCTGTAGCTTTCCTGATTTTAAGTGTGACACTTTTAGTCTTGAAAAGATGCTACAATTTGCCATGACAATAGTCTTTTCAATAGGAAATACAAGTAAATTCCATCATTCCTGGGTTCTTCCTTGTTTTACCGAGGAAGCCCTTGTGGTCAGCCTCTGTCACTGCTTAGCACACGATTATCTTCATGGATGGAGACACCGAATTGAAACCGAGTCAAAGTAACGGGAAAAGTTATTGTTTTCAAAATTTAAGATTCTCTTCTTCCAGGTCTTCCCTTTGCTTCTATATCATCAGAAAACCCACAGCACTGAGGCAAGATGTCACAGCTATTACCTTCCAAACACACTTGTGATTATCACAGACAAAATGCCCGCATTCCTTCTCATGAAATCAGATAGAATATGCCCGTCGAAACTGTTGGGTGTATTAAAGCAACAGCCTAAGCTACGCTCAATTGTCTGTTCGTCTTTTTCTCCTGGTTGGCGAAACAAAGATTCACAACTAAAAACTTGAGAATGTGGAGGATGTAATTCAGTTTCTACCATGTGTCTGCCAACAAGACCCGGCATGTTGGAATGATCCTCCAGCACCCACCCATCTCACGGAAAGGCAAGAGATGCCAAGTCAGTCTATTCTATCCCCTTAGCAAGGTGATCTACTGAGACCTACAGGGAAACAGGAGCCAGGAATGTAGGTCAGCCCGAGAAGTGAGGAGCTTTCAAGTGCAGAAGGGTCAGAGCTTCCAGAGAATTACAACTACAGGTCCCTTGAAAGAAAGCGACTTCATAAAATAATTCACACGCATTTATATCTCCCACATTTGGATCATAACCTGTAGTGACCAAAAAAGGGGGGCACTGCCAGATAGGACTTGCTGATGCATTAAGTAAGGCCCTTCTTGGTAAAGTAAAAAAAAAAAAAAAGCGCCAACTGTTTAGATAAATCAGCTTAAAATATCAAGATAATGGAAACAGCACTTGGGCTTTATGTACTAAATTCGTGTGTACACTAAAATAGGACCCTGAATCCCAAAATGGAACTCACCTGCCCATTAAAGTACAGTGGAACCAAACTACCCTCATCTGTACACACCACAGGCTGGGACTATCTGACAATGTCCAGCACCACCTCTCCCTGCCTGACCTAGGATGAAGCTGGTTACTCTCTACAGCGGGGCCTGCTGTAGTCTGAAGAAAATTCTGTCCTCACTCAGCACTTATGCCAAATAACGTATCCAAAATGGTGAGTAAAATCCACATTTTCTCTTCCTAAAATACCTGTGACTGGCATTAGCGATGATTTGTGAAAAATAAACCAGATTTCTAGGAATAGCAGTAAATTAGAAGGAGCATGGACAGGTCCTCACAGCCTTCAGGCAGTATGAGGACTTCTTTGATAGCAAGTTGAAGACAAATCAGATATTTATTCCGAAGAGTCTTTGAACGACAGCTACTTCACCTAGGTTGTATGCTTGCACTATCATTCTGCACTTTACTGCTTAGGTCTGGCTACCACATGAAAAGGCAAAAGGAAGATTAAGCCAATCTCTGACATCACTCCTGAGATTCTGTTAATTTTTTTTTCCTTATAATAAAATTTAATTCAACTGCAGATAACTGTCCTAAAAGTACTTGAGTAAGAATTGGCTTGAAGCATACAGATGAATTTGACTTGAGACTTTAAACAGTAAAGAATTTACTGACAAACCCTCTTTGTCATGATTTTTAAAAAGGAGCAAAACCCTCCAGTAAAGGGGATTGTAACTTCCTTCTCTCCACACAGGAAGTGTGAACCTGAGACGTTCTGTGCTCCCCCACTGCCATGAGAGGAAACAAAACCTAAGATGATAAATTAGTAGACAACTGGTCACAGGTATACAGCAGACTATTAAAAAAAAAAAAAGGGTAAAAACATATACAAACACACAGGCACACAGATATAGTATTCAGGAAAACATAAACTTCTGATTACTTTTATTAAGTAACAGTATGAAACCAGTTCAGGGACAGAGTCTGAGCACTCAGATCAGATCTATAGTTGTCCTGTGATGTGCACCCAGGGAGTCACTTTTAATGGACTCTAAGGAGATTGAAGAATACTTATCTTCCGAAAGTTCTAAGCATAACAAATTGTGTTTTTATAAATGTGTTTGTTTTACCTATTGCATGAATCAGTCTTCTACTGAATGTGGTCTGGACCTAAAGGGATGGCTAACCTCGCAGTCACCCACTTGGCCTTGCAACATTCTGCTTGCTTGTCAAGTTTCACACTGTTAATTTTCTAACAAGCAGTTTTGTTTTCAAATGTCCCAAGGCCAGTGACTGAGTCCACACATAAACTTTGTAAGTAAAGAAACATCAAGAAGCAAGAAGTTTCACACCCCACCATCCAGGGTCCAGCGCACACGGCGTCTTCCCTAGCGTCCGGCTCCTTTCTCCTCCTATACTTACCAGTTTTCGTGATGTATTTTTCATTGTGGCGAGCCTCGGTTTGCAGGAAAACACCCCATTTGTTAATCATAGATAACTTCTCATATCTACCCTGGCCACTGTAGCAGGGGATATATATATCTTATGTGTTATGAAACACGTAAATTTTTCTAAAAAGATCTGTCTTTCAAAATCCTACCAAATGTATGTTTTGTTAGAGCACAACATATATTTAATAAGCCAGGGTATGTGAACATGGTGTTTAGTAGAGCAAGGCACAGTCAGCACACACTGAGCTGAAGTGGAAATGCCTCCAGGGCACACACCATGAGGACTGTCAGTGTCCTCCACTATTTTGCTAAGCAGTCTCTTTTCCTACTCCAAGTGCAAGTATTATATGCTACAAATGAAGTAATTTGCAACACTTAAGAAAAGTCAGTCATGTTATGGGCAAATGTATTTATTCACTTTTATTGCAAGAGGCACTTTGATAACAGAATTGTACGAAATAATTGTGTCTGGGAGAATCAGAGATTTAAGAGAAGGACTTCTTTGGAGCAAAAGAAAGCCTGCTTCTGTTTTGGAGATTATAATAACATGTGCACACATAGGGAGACTGCCAGAAAGATGAGTTACCTGGGAGGGTCGTTTGTAAACGCCTATCACTAAAGTCAGGAAAAATACATCTGACCTTACTTGGCAACGGAGCAAAACTTTCTTTTATTTTGCTTTAGGTAGTAAATTAGGCACATGCCTCGGCCTTCCTTTTGTGAATAAAGATTTTGTTACTCAGTGGCAAACTTCTTAAAATGAATAGAAGGTGATAGGAGCATTTCTATTTACTCACTCAAAAATGTAAAGTAATAGAATTCAATTCATTTTCCTTTTTTGTATTAAATGCCAAGTAATTTGTTTATGATGAGATTTAAGATTTCTTCCTAGGAGATATTATAATGATGCATTTTTTAGAGCACTTGTATCAGAGCTTAAATGTCTGTTAGTTACCCACCAAGATATTCCTCTGCCATCTCCTTAGAATAAAATTAAATTAGGTAAATTCTACACTTAGGCAACACAAAAAAAGTCTCTGGTAAAATTAGGTTTTTTTCTTAGGTTAATTTATAAACCAGGTAAAAATGGAACAATAAACCAGGTAAAATGATATCATATTAGGGATGATAAATATGATATCATATTACGGATATCAGATTATGTTTTAATATAACTTCTAATAAGAATGTTAGAGATATTTTAAAGTTTACTAAATATATAGCATAAGTCTAAATGCTAAGAAGCAGCAAATAAATTTAAATGTTAAAATTCTGCTTGTTCTGGGCAGCACCTATGGCTCAAGGAGTAAGTAGGGTGCCGGCCCCATATACTGGAGGTGTTGGGTTCAAACCCAGCCCTGGCCCAAAACTGCAAAAAAAAAAAAGAAAGAAAGAAAAAAATCTGCTCATTCAACTTCAAAACTGTTAAAACAAATAAGAAGTCATAGTTACCTTCTAAGTAACTTTACAATTACTTCCAAAATAACTAGTTGCTATAGCAGTTTACGACACTGAAAACTATCACATATGATGTGGTTCCTGCCACCAGCACGGAGAAAAACCTCACAGAACATCAACTCCACAGAGATGAGCATACAGTCCTTGCCAACAACTACTGTGCCTGGGGGGCTCAGATCTAGTGAAAAGGTTTATCAAAATTTACTTCTGATTTGTAAACCTTTGTTCTCAACTATGATACAAATCTACAAATAAAATACAGCAGCTTTTTTCCTAATTTATTTGTAAAACAAAAAAATGTGACTTTTATGTTTACCTTCACTTCTCTGTACGCGCACTGACCCTGAGATATGTCCTTCTCTAGCTCAGATACAGCCAGCATGAAATTATCTTAAACTGCAATTTAAAATTTATTTAAAAAAACACTGAGTGATACACTTGACCGGGTTTTGTCCTGCCCCCAAATACATAGTGAGTCAAAATTTGTTAAAACTTCTTATTGTCAAATTCAGGGTATTTCTGTATCACTTCACAGAAAGGCCTTTTGAGATGTGCAGCTCACTAGATGTGCAGCTTTACTGCAGAACAAACAGTATAATTTGTCATCACAATTAAAGCTGTAAAATTCATGGAGTTGTTTCCAGTATCCCATAATTGGATTCACTTCTAATTAACATCCATTTGGCAAAGTGCTTCAATGGGGCTTGGTTTGCAGTAGTCATGTAAATACCAGAGAGTAAATTAAACTCTCTTATTTTTCAGAGGAAACTGCAAAAACTTCACCACCAAGCAAATCTGTAGTTTTGATTTGTTTTTCACCATTTTACAAGGTGCAAATATTATTATATCATTCTCTGCCCCTTCCTTCCTTACCGCCCCCCACCCTGATTTTAAGGTTCCCATTATTTGGTGGTTTGTTCAAAAATAACACCAAAAGTATCTTCACAAACTTTTTATGCTAAGCATGCACTTAGAAAACAAAGTTAACTCCCATCTAACAAATGTTAAATGCAGGAAATTAGTCTTGGGTTACCCAGCGGGGACAAACAAACCCTTAGGTGTGGAGTCAGAATGGGAAAGTATCTGCGAGGTTCCTGCAGCCATTCACAAAGTTAGGACAGCAGGACTTGAGAGACTCACCTTCTGAGCCGCTTTGGAGGGGCTCTTGTTCTTGCTGCCTTTAGGTCTTCCCCTGGGTCTCTTAGGAGAAGGCTCACCGGTCGGCTCCTAATTGTGGGGGGAAAAAAAACGCTGTTGTGGCAAGAGTGGACCCCTAGTCTTCAGCTCTATCTCTGCATGTGCTACACAGCAGCGCTGCCGGACACATTCAGTTCCAACGTAAGTGGATGATGATGGTACAGTTCACAGAAAAGTGAGGAAGCTATACTTCCAACCTCAGGGCTCAAAGAGGAAGCTCTGTTTTGTGTATGAAAATTAGATACAATTTCAAACCTAGGATGGTAACAAAAGCCAAATTATTGCATGCTCTATTTTAAAGAAAGTCATATTTTTTGAAGGTGCTAAGTTTACATGGTGATGCATTCAGCCACTCAAAACAGTAATAGGCATTTTATACAAATACCACTATCCGTTATACTAGAATTTCAAACAGCAGAAAAATAAAGCTAACATCTCAGATATTGTATCCATCTTCCATATTGAAAAGGTAGTTTTTAATCATCTCTGTCTACCTACATTCTAGGTCAATTATGCCTCCAACGACACATTGTGAGTGAAATATTGGAACAATTATCCCAGTTCTTCAGCTCAAAATAACTCCATTCCCCCTAAACTTTCCGAATAATTATGGTAAATCTGTGGTGGGAGGTTTTGCTTGAATTATCTACATAATTGCTTCAATTCTCCACTTCCTTTTGGAGATGGAGACATGGTCTCCAGTCTAAATTTAAATATATTTTGATAAAAATAATCAACTTTTCTTCGAAACTTTTCTTTTGAGAAAACTCTTATGGGGGGTGGATTAGAGAAAAGTAAAAGGTGGGGGGGGGGCAGTTAAGAGGAAAGGAGTGCCTGGGAAGTAGAAATTTAAACAATCACTAGATTTAGCAAAACTTTAAATGGCTCCTATGCCAAGTAGTAAATACCCAAGTGGTTAGGAAAATGTGATGATTAATATTCCAGATCCTAAATATTTATGCAGTGAATCATCTATTCACATTTCATTCAGATTCGGTGATTAAGTGAGACTAATTAACTTAAAACGCATGGAAGTCCTCAATGAAAATTCGCATCCTATTCACAGACTCGGGAAGGTTCCCGCAAGCTCTCTGCGGGCCCACTAGCGCCAGCTGGGCACACCCACAGCACACACGTCGGAGACACATTTTTCTTTCTTTGTGAACTCTGCCTCTTAACTCAAAGGTAAAACAGCCAATTCCCCCCCCCACCCCGAGTTCGATGAATTTTCTTTTAATTTTTTTTTAGGGGGGCCTATTAGCAGAGTTAGAGAGAGCTGGGTGGTGGGTGGGAAACGAGAGGGGGTCAGAGCCTTCCTGGGAGGTGGAAAACAGGACCCAAACCCCGTGTAAAGGGTCGCCTGGGCAGAGCGGGAAAACTCCGGGGCCTCTGGACTAGTTGTTTCCTTTGATGATTTCAAAAAGGTACATACAGCTCTCTCGGTTCTCCTGAAACGCCCGGGCCAGCAAGCATTGTTCAATTTCCTCACCTTGCTCTCGGGCGGCTTTGGGAGTCTAGGATTATTTTCTAATCGGCCTATTTGCCATGAAGGAAGCGATTTAAGGCTAAGGAGCGAAGGAGAAGTTTTAAAGCCCAAGGAAGTGGAGTTTAAATGTTCTCAATAGACATACCCGCTCCAACCCTGCCCGCCGAGGCTTGGAAATTGCAGCGAACAAAACCCCAGCCCAGGGCGCTGCGCGCAGCTCTGCAAGCGCCCGCTGCACGCTTAATTGGTTGCATCCGCAGACAAAACCCTCCACTCCGCGGGGTCCCGGGCTCCCCTCGATCTCCCCCTCCCAACCCCCAGCCTAGAAGAACATTTAATGTCCACGGCTCTGAGGCGCGCGGGATTCGGGGGTAAAAGGGAGACCCGGCGCCTGACGAGGAAGGGACCCTGGCCACCGTGGACACTCCTTTCAAAGCGCCCTTGGCCGAACGACTTAACCTCATCCCGCGGGGGCCCAGGCTCCCGGTACCCCCGGTACCTTTGGCGGCTGCCGCGCTGCGTTTAAAGAGCCTTAGAGCAGCCCGGTCCCCACGCGTTCTTTGTCGGGAGGGCGCGAGTTTGGGGCCATCGGGAGCTTGTTGGAAGCGTAGGGGGCGACTCCAGTGCGCAGCCCCCGGCCCGCGAACAGCCCCAGGAGGCGGGAGAAAGAGCCTCGGGTCCCAGGACTCCAGGTCCCTGGAACTCTAGCCCCTTCATCCCTGATCGGCCGAGCGCCGGTCCCCGCCACCTCCTCCCCCACTGCCCCCGGCCATTGTAAAAGCGGCTCGGGAAGCCCTGGCGAGCCCCAGTTCGCCGGACCCCGGCTGCTCGCAGTCACCCGGCGACCCCGCGCCACTCAGGCAGCGCACAATAGCGAAAGTCCGAGGCAGCGCTTCTCCCACCCGCCGCTCCCGCCTTCCAGCGGCCGCGCGCCGCAGCTCCCATCTCCCCGCCCGCCCGGAGCGACGCGGGCGCCCCGGGGCTCCCCTCCCGCCCCCAGCCCGCCACCCGCGGGCAGCGCGAGGCGGCCGACGACTGGGCTCCCGCGCCCCGGTGGCCTGGCGCGTCGCGGGGCCCTGGCAGGGCGCACGGGGCTGGGCCGGTGCCCGCCGCGCCCGCGTACTGACTTGCTGCTGCTTCCTGGGTCGGCCGCGTCCTCTCTTCTGAGGCACCGGGGCGGCAGGTTGTCCCTGCGCTGAAGTGGACGGCTGCCCGGCGCCCTCACCGCGTGCGCTCATCCTGCCTCCCGCCGCCGCTACAGCTGCTGCAGCCGCTGCGCCTCGACCGCCCGAGTCTGCCCAGCGCCTTCGGAGACGGGTGCGGGGCCGAGGAGCAGGCCGGGGAGAGAGCCGGCGGGCTGCGAGGCTGCAGTTGCTTAGGCTGCCGCCGCTGCCACCATCAACACCGGACGTCCCGCGGCTGCCAAAAAGAGCGAAGAGGGAGGAGGAGGAGAGAGGAGGCGCTGCCGGTGGCGGCGGCGGCGGGGGGTGGGTGCCGGAGGTGGCGGTGGCGGCGGAGGTGGAGGTAGAGGTGGCTAGAGGAGGAGGGAAGCGGAGGACAAGGAAGAGGGCTCGAGGTCGGAGAGGCTCTGCTCTCGCTTTGGGGTCAGGAACTGCGGGTACCGGGCGCACTTGGGAAGCGGCTTGGAGAAGGGGGAGACTTGGAGTGAATTGTGTCCCTTGAATGTTAGGCGGGGAAAGAATTCCTCCTCCTCTTCCCCCCCGCTCTGCGCAGAGAGAGAGAAAAAGAGAGAGAAAGAGGGAGAAAGTGCTGCCTTAGGCAGTCGGAAAGTAAAGAGAGGATGAGGAGATTCAGCCAGGACAGGTCGAGCAGCGAGCACGAGCAAGGGACAGAGCGGTGGGTGGCACTGTGCCTCCTCGGGTGGCGGGAGCTGGCGGCACCGCACCGCAGAGTCGGGGGACGGGCTGCTGGCTCCTGCGTCCTGCCTCAAGTGCGCGCCGCCCGGGCTGGAAGTTCTCTGAGTTCCTGCCGGGATTCAGGCGGGCTGAGTGTGCGCTGGGGGCGGGGAGCGCCCACCTCTGATCGTGGGCGGATAAAGGGGAGGGGGCTGCGCAGGAAGAAAGGACGGGGAGGAGGGAGGCCGCGGACCGCCGGGCCCAGGCGCCTGGCCGAGGGCCAGAGGCCGCGTTCGAAACACAACTGCCGCGGCGGCGGCGCCCGGGTGCCACCCGGAGCCCCGCTCACGTGCTCGCGCCCGGCGGCAGGGTTAAAGGGACAGGCCGGGATCCCGGGGCCGGCTCGCCTCGGGCCTTGCCCCACCCGGCGCCCGAGTCACCCCTGGGCAGTTGTCCCGGAAAGGGGTGGACACGTTCCTGTCCCAGAGCCTGGTTTCAGGACCGGCCTTTACCTGCGCCTCCGGGGTGCGGAGCCAGCGTTCTGCAGCCGCAGCGCTCCGGTTCCCTGAGAGCCAACAGGGACTTCGGGACCAGGGGACTGCCCTGACCGCCTGCTAGGTCTCGGGATGCCCTCCCCACAGAGCGCGCAGCGAGCGCGCACGCACACACAGACCTGGGCACGCCGATGCACACTTGCCCGCGGAGCCACGTGCACACGCGCGCGCACCTATACACACAGGCACACAGACGTGCACACTCGCAGACACGTGCAAACAATGTGCTCACACGCGCACGGAGCGCGCCGGCTTCTCGAGTGAGCTTTCCCCTCGGGCAACACTGGAAAGGCGCGGAGTCTCCGCGGGCTGCAACGTGGGCAGCGTAAAGGGGACCTCTGGGTTCCTGAGCCCACAACTGCTCCGACTACCCACCGTTCCCTTCACTTTACCTCGATTTAACCTCCTCCCCAGGAACTCCCTGTCCGCCAAGTCCTAATTTTACAGCCGGGGCTGTTTCTGAGTTCCGTGAACGCCGTAACGGCCACAGTCAGTTTTAAGAGGTGGAGCACATTTTAAAACGCACCTCTTTCCACCCTTGAATAACACAAAGCTCCGAAAAAATTCAGTTCAGGTTTTCACACATCACACCCAAAATTATTTTGGACTAATTCCAAAGTAAAAACTTTCACCTGGGGAGGAATTTTTTTTTTCCAAGACGCAGACCACCGTGGAATGGAAACGCCCACTTCGCGCCCGAAGCCGGAGCGGGGCACCGCGGGCTCTGGGCGCGTGGAGGCGGCGCCTGTCGCTGTCTGCCCGGCGACCGCGCTGATTGGTCAGCGTTGCCATTTTAAATCCGTTTCCAGCTGCCGGGTGCAGAGCTGGGACTCCGCTGCACGTGGAGGGCTCTGGGAGAACCCAGGGTTTCTCCTGGATCTGGGAGGCACAGCCTGGCCCTCCGGATGGAGCCCGGAGGCTGTCTGGGGACCGAGGGGTCTAGCAGGAACCCGGGGTGTTCTGTCTGGGCTTGGCGGAAACAGGTATCTTCATCAAAGGGACTGAAATTTCGCCTTCCAACGATTGCATTTCACCTACTAACATTTCCTAACTGCCAGGTTGGCACATGTTTGTAATGTGACCACATGTTCGCACTGTGGCGTGCACATTTTACACACACCAAATGGGCTTCTGGGTTCATGCCTGTCCGCTCGCTGTTCCTGGAGTAGAAATTCTGCGATGAACGTAAGCGGAGGTCACTGGAGGGCTTCAGCCAGCCACCGGGACACTGGGTCGCTCATTACATCCTCCGACTTTTTAAAAAATGTGCACAGAGGTCTTAAGGAGGGGATTCCAACATTCTATGTTTGCGTTAATCCCTGAATTCAAGAGAAACCCAGAAAAATTGAGGGTAGGGGAGTATGTAGTGTCAGTCGTTTTCAGGCAGTCAGTTGGCTGTCAGGCTACTTGACCCCTTTTGAATTTATATCAAGAAGGATATAAAACAAATATTGCAGCAAGTTTTTTCTAAATCGGTTTTATATTCTTTTCATTCTTTGTAACCTTTTTTAATTTTTTTCAGGTTTCTGTATGTTTTCTGTAGGGGAGACATTAAGCTTTGTTTTTGTCTTTGAAATGATTGAGACTTTTACTATAAAAAATCGTGTTCTTATATATTCTTATAAAGTTAAATGATTAGATTTCATTGTAAAAGACATAGGATTTTTCACGTTTACCTTTGAGCCCCTCCTCCCATCTGAGTTTCTCAGATCCTCACTTCCTCTTTATCTCACCATATTTTACCCAGCTACTCAAGGCTGAACTTCTCTAATTTTAAAACTTTCCAGGTGGCTTCTGTCCACATTAAAATGTTTCTTTTCTTCTTCTGTACCTAGTCTAGGTAGGTAATTGAGCAATTAGCACCTTGGTTGTATATTTTAACAAGGTTTCCAATTATCTGTGACCCATGATTAGTGTTAGATCAAGTCAGCTTATTAGTAAGTGGTAAAATTAATTTAGTGAACCCAGAACATTTTTTAAAATAAATAGAATAGAAAATATCACATGTAAAATTTCCATTGTAATTATATAGTACTTGTGTGTAAAAACTGTATTAAGATGGGTTTTATTTTCACCTTTAATGTCTTGGAAATTGGGATGTATCTTAAAGTTCAAGTTGTCGTAACACTGTGTTACCACATACTAGGTACCATGTTTTCTATTTTAGTGGTACATATTTTTATATGTAATTTTTTTGCACTAGTTTTGGGCTGTTTTGTTCATAATAGGCTTTTGGTATTTACTAACTTATTACTATGAAAAAATACAATAAAGTTGCCACTTCACAAAATGTACCACACCAGATGAGGAAAGCATTATATGTATTAAAATATCATCACCGTTCTCTGAGTAAAGGAAGATGCATTTGTGATACAGAGATTGAGGTTCCCACATTGCACTATACCCCGTTACATTTACATTTTAATACATTCACAAATTAAATGTTAATGTAATGATTTTCTCAGATTATCACTGATTGAATTCATCATGAATGTACTTCACATGTAATTAAACAGATATTTATTATAATTAGATATTTTGGAAGTCAGACCACCAAACAAAGTGAATTTGTTCACTCTCTTTCTGAATAAATATATCTTGAATTAGTTTTGCAGAATCTTACCTGTTATCCTTTCAGGGCTCACAAGTGCAATTCATCTGGAGCTAGGTGCTAGTTTTAAAACAGCAAGGTGCTTGTTTAAAATCTATTTACCAGTCACCTTAAGGTTTCTGGTATTCGCTTTCCAGTCCGTCTTTTGTTCAACAACTATTTATTGAGCACTTTTCCATGCTAGAAGTCACAGATATTCTTCTTGACAAGTCATTGCAAGCAGAACAGAAATAGAAGGGTCTCATTTCCACCTCTCATCTCCTGACATTGTCCTATCTTCCCAAGCCGTCTTCATCCCTGTGTATATTCAGGCAGCTTTGATTTAGGAATGGGAGGCATGGAAGGTAGAATTCTAAAATGGCCCCCAAACCTCCAAGATCGAGGTGCCAAGGCTTCCTAGATTACGGACTTAAGCTGTATTGTGCTGGGTTTTACTGTGACTAAGGAGTGTCATATGGCATAGTTGACCTGGATATAGGGAAGTTATCCACAGGATGGTGACCTAGTCATATGTGTTTAGAACAGATTCCTCCGGCTCATCTGGGATGAAGTTAAAGATTTGAACCACAAGAAGGATTTGAATCTTCATGGCCAGTTTAAAGATGGAGGAGACACGTGGCAAGAAATGTGGGTGGTCTCCAGGAGCTGAGGGCAGCCCCAGACCCATAGCTGGCAAGGAAAAGGGACCTCCCCTCCCTTCTCCAGCCACAGGAACTGAATTCTGCCAAGAACAGGAATGAGCTGGTTGTGAGTGGAATCTTCCCGAGAACCTGCAGATAATAGCTCAGCCAGATCATCACCCTGATTCCAGCCTTGTCGCACCCAAATAGGAAGCCCAGTCTTCTGACTTACAAAACTGTGAGCTAGTAAGTGGGTATTTTAACACCATCTGAAGCCACTGCTTTTGCAATAATTTGTTTGCAAAACTAATACAAGACAGAGCTTGTTGAGTGAACACCCTGCCGGTTCCCCACCCCATCAGCTGCCCCAGCACCGTTACTTCTGCAGTTTGTCTGCAGATGGGCCACATGGCTGCACCCTATTACCAAGCACCTGTCCTATCTCTCTGGGCTAATTGGAAAGCAGTGCCCAGCATGAAACTGCATCATCTTAAACTGCTTTCCTTCCCTCCCTGCCTCACCTCCATTTTCCCTTCCTTTCACTGCCCTGAGTATGGACCTCTCAAATAAAAAATAAGGATTAATCCTTACCTCAAC